GGGCTGGCCAGTTAGCTCAGTTGGTTAGAGTGCAGTGTTGATAACACCAAGGTCAAGGGTTTGGATCCCTGTACAGGCCAGCCACCAAAAAAAAAAAGGAATTCACCTCTTTACCAGGTCTTTTCTCCATCTTTTTCACTCTCACTGCCCCTGCTCTTTGACCTAGTTCACATCTCCTGTCCCCCAGCCCTCTGTCTGCATTGACTTTGTTGATTTCCCCCAATCTTGCTTCTTCTACAGCTGAGCCTAGGCTCTTGACTCATCACTCAGCCATTTTCTTGCCAGCACCATCAGCTCTGGCTCCTGTGTCTTGTGCAAACTCACACCCCAAATTAATCTTTAAAGCAGTCTCCTGGCTTCTATGCCTGAGTTGCTGAGTGAGGAGAAGAGACTCTGGTAGCCCTGAATATTGGCCACTCCAGACTTAGGCTCTTCTGTCTCAGAGGACAATCTGTTCTAATGTCAGCACTGTTTCAACCACACCCATGGCTCTAACCTTCACCTGTAGTGTCAGGAGTGTCACATGGTTCAGTCTACTTTAAACTACCCGCCCCCCCCAATACCTGCTGCTTCAGTTTAGACCCCCATCAACTCTTGCCTGCACCATTATGATTGCCATTAGCCAGTTTCTGTTCTCCTTTTCTCCAGTATTTTCCCCTCTCATTAGTGCGTCACATTGCTGTCATTTTTATCTTTGTCACATACAAATCTGTTTGTTACTCCCATGTTTAAAACTCTGCTTGTTCCTCCTCACTTTTACTGCCTCCCCTCAACATACACACACTCCCTTCTGTGTACCTTATGTGACAGCTATACTTACTTCTGGCAGTTCCTCAAATGTTCCTTGCTATTTCATACCTGTATTCATTTGCATACGGGGTTCTACCTGGAATATTCTTCTCTCTTTTGCCTATTTTTCAAACTTCCACTTCACATCATCTCTTTTGTGAAACTCTTTTGAATCCCCTCAGATAAAGTCATTCATTCCCAGAGTATCATATGTGTCTTCTATTACAGCACTTACAGCTCTATTGTAGTTACCTGTTTATATCTTTTCCTTTATTAGAACCATACCTTGAGGTTAGGGAATGATGTCTTATTAGCTTTATTTCTAATGTCTAGCAACAGCTTGGCACATTGTACAGTCTTAGTACATGTTAAATGACTTAAGTCCATTATACTAAGGACTCATGGTTTATTTTTATAAGGTTTAAGAAATCCCTTTCCTGGGGAGAGCAAGGGAAAGCAAGTGGCTCTTATTTATTTTTTCTTATTCAGATGATACAGGATTTAGTCATAAAACAGGACCGAGTTTTTATCTTGGCTTTTTTTACCACCAGGATTTTGAGTGAGCCATATGACTTTCCTTTGTCCCAGGAACCTGCATAACAGATATCCTGCTTATCAACACAGGGTCATGTCAAGCATCAGGTGCTTTCAAAAGGGCCTTCAAGACAGCAAAGAACTGTATAAGTTTAAAAGATTAATATGATAATGGTTGAATATTGTTTATGACTCTGAAATAGCCTGTCCAATTAGATTTGGATTTGTTTTGATCTCCACCAATGTGCACATCACTGCATCAACCTTCACAAACCAAAAAATCATTAAAAGTTTTTTACTGAGCTCTGTTTACTTGGTAGCTGCCTTGCTTTGGGATTGATAGGTAGTAGAAGCAAGAAATAAGGGTAATAGTTTTGAGAAGAGACAATTTGAAAGATTTAAACGTTCTAAATCATAGTTAGCTGAGTTTTTCTACATGTCAGTGATTACAGTGATCAGAAATCACAAAGGCACCTGCTGGTCATATGCCAGCCAGGTGGCCCCTGCCGACTGGCTGACCGAGAGCCAGGGTAGGTTCAGTTCGTAAAGCCATTCTACAATGAAGCATTGTAATCACCTCCTGAATTTATTTGTTTAACTAGGCAGTTCTTAGGCTTCCAGGGAAAACTAAACTTGCCTTTAAAAAAATGTTTTTAATCCCATCTTTGAAATTGTACAAGTACTCCCTCAGTTTTGTAAAACTTATTATCTTTTAGCAAAAAGATTTTAGAAGTCCCACATTGCAAATAAAAACTACACATTAAAAAACAAAAAACAAGAGGGCACAAGGAAACTTTTTGGTGACGGATATGTTTATTACTTTGATTGTGGTGATGGTTTCATGGATGTCTGTGTATGTCCAAATGTCAGATTATGTTCATTAAATATGTACAGTTTTTTGTATATCAATTATACCTCAAAGCTGTTAAAAAACAAAAATAAAAACACAATCTAAACATTAGAAAACCCCCAATACTTGAAAGAAAGAACAGACCCCCACCCCTCAGTAATATTCCCTCACCCCAAGTTCATCCCTCGTGAACAGTTGAGTATGAAGCCTCGTAGACCTTGCATATGGGATTCTATACAGAAAGAGCTAAAGGTAGTTTTTGAAAGCCAAATTAGGACCATATTATACATGAGCTATGTAGTTTGCCTTTCCAAACAGTGGACATTCCCCAAGGCATTGCAAATTTATATGACAGTGAAAATTTCCTGGCGGTGTGTCTGGAAAGATATTTCTGGTGATGTCCATGGAGCTGTGACTGAGTAGGAGTTCTGACTTCACTGGGATCTCCTAAAGCCTAAAATGGAGCTCTGAGATGCATACAAGTGCATTTATTCACAGGTTATTTAGACAGTTGAGTTTGTCAATTTTTTATTTCAGGTATGATGGGAAAAAAGGAAAGATACGCAGTATGAGGTACTTGCAATGCAGAGAGGCCAGACTAGGCCTCATTGGGGCTGGGTTGGACTGGAGAGAGGAAAAGAGAATTCGACTTGTAAAAAAGAAGGGAGTGCTTAACAGGGAGATGCTGAAAAAGGACCAGCCTGGCACTGATAGAGATTGAAAAGCGTGGTTCTTAGAGTTCTGTTGCTTTACTTGAGTTATGGTTTAATTTTGTTTGTTTGAAAGAAGTAAGTGTAATATAGGGTGTTAAGACATCATAAACGAAAAGCATTCAGTGTCTTCAGTGTTTGAGGCAATACAGGTGAATAGCACTGAGGTGGTTAGGGAAAGGCCATTTATACCCTGCTGTTTCTCTGTTCCTCCCGTTTCTGAATTCCGCCCTTAATAAGAATGAGAGTAAAAAGAGTAAAGCTTTAAATGGACTTTTTCCTTTTTTTTTTCTGTAGTGTTCTCTCAGAGGACCAAGACAGTTACCTTTGCAATGTCACCTTGTTTAGGAAGGCAGTTGATGACTTCAGACACAAAGCCAGGGAAAACAAGTAAGATTGTTATTTTTTGCTTTTAAATGTGTTTCATCAGTTATATATGATGTGAACAATTTTGTTTTCTCCAAATTTAGATTCATTGTTCGTGACTTCCAGTATAATGAAGAGGAGATGAAAGCAGATAAAGAAGAAATGAACAGGCTTTCAACTGACAAGAAAAAGCAATTTGTACGTGTTCTTAATATTTAGTATTATCAGTGTTGAGCAGAAGAAAAGGTGGTATTGCTTTTCTTTGATTTAAAAGAAAGCAAAGCTCCTCTGATTTTGCTTTTAAGAAATTTAATTTTAGTTATTTTTTCTGTTGAGTAATCAGAATGAATTTCCTCTAAATAAGCTTAGATCTATGAATAGTTATCTTAAAGTACATATCTAAAAATTAATTATTCCATCTACATCCATATCAGAAATTTTTTTTTTTTTTAAGATGACCTTTAAGGGGATCTCAACACTTGACTTGGTGTTGTCAGCACCACACTCTCCCAAGTGAGGTAACCGGCCATCTCTATATAGGGATCCGAACCTGTGGCCTTGGTGTTATCAGCACCACACTTTCCCGAGTGAGCCACGGGCCAGCCCTAGAAATTAATTTTAAAGGCAGTGCTTTGGTTAATGTCCTTGTAGTGAAGGGTGATTTTAGTTAGGAAATAAATTTCTCACTTTTCAGTAAGAATTTTCATTTTCGTTTTCTTGAGGCACATTTTTTTCAATGCCTCAATCTCTGATTAAAGGAATTTGTGTTTAAACTATTGAAGAATTGGTGTGTTCTAGGCATAATGGGGAACAAGGAGGGAATTGTGAAAATGAAGGATGGCATCTACTTTCTTGCTATCTTCAAGTGTGGGATTACCGAGAATACTAAAAGCTAGTGTGGACAGGGAAAAGTGAGGAGTGAAAGTGTGTTTCTCTTTTAATGTGAGGGGAAATAAAGGCAAATTTCATTGAAAATTATTTCTAAGAACTTTATAAACCATATTATCTCAAATTGGGAGAAAACTAACTCTAACCAAGTAATATCCAATATTACCAATTGTTAGGGAAGATCCAAACCCCTTTTAAAGAACAGATATTTTGACCAAAGATTTCATTTTGTTATTCCTTTTTCTTAAATTAATTGGTTGGTACGTCCAAATGAGCCTAATAATGTTATCCAAATGAGTGTTAGCTGAATTCACAAATGTATGTCTTTTAAGTATGGCGAGGAAAAAATCTGTTTCTTTAAAGAGGTATTTAATTCTACTCAATAATTTAGACTTAAAAAGAGCTTTTACTACATAATAGAATCATTAAAAATTTAAAATGTGAAGAGGTTTTAGCGATCTAGATGAACCCCCTTATTTTATACATGAAAAAACTAAGTTAGGAGTATTAAATGACTTAACTATTTATTTGTTCCCAAGAAATTGTTGAATTCTATTTTAAATGTAATAAGTGTTGTAGAGTATTGTGTAGTAAATTCAGATTTTTATATTTTGGCTTTCAAACCTAGGGCACCCCTATGTTTTGTACCAATTTAAACTACTTTCATTAAAATATATGCTGATTTTGATGTTAGTGAATCGGTTCAGTGCATTTTAGTAGGTTACTGAGTAGTGGCTAATCTTTTAATCTTACTTTAGGGTAAGTTATCCAATATAATGAGAATAATATTTGAAACATTTGAAAAGTGAATTATGTGACTTATAGATAGTCACTCCTTTGAACATATTTGATCTCTCTAATTGCCATTTTCAAGAACAAATTTATGATATATATTTTTTTCTTTTTATAGGGGCCACTTGTGCGGTGGCTGAAAGTGAATTTCAGTGAGGCATTTATTGCATGGATTCATGTGAAAGCGTTAAGGGTTTTTGTTGAGTCTGTTTTAAGGTAAAGAAAATTAATTGAGAAACTTGAAACTGAAGAGTTTATAGATCCCTTTACATTGGATCTCTTTATTATAATACAGTTCACAATATGAAATTGATTTGGAGAAACCAAAAGGCCAATCATGAGAGGAAAATTGCCAGTACTTTATATAGCTTATAAAGTACATGTTAGTCTTGCCCTTTAACACCAGGTTTAGAAAATCTAAGGAGATCTATGCTGCTGTACTCTGATTCTTTTCTGATGTAGTTATTTAAATTAAAAGTAGATTATAAAATACTAGGTGATGTTTGTTTAAAAGGCAGATTTTTCAAATATATGTACTTTGGTATACAGTATACCTATTGAATGATTTATTGTCATTATTTCATATTAACCTAAAATATTTTAATATTTTGAGATACTTAAAATCTCAATCGTCTTGTGATGCTCTGTACATATTGCTCATATTAGAAATTTTTTTAAAAAAAACAATGTGTAGCCATGCTCGCACTTTTTAAATTTATTCAAATTTTTCAGAGTAGTTGTGAGTAATCTCATGTGTTTATTATCACAAAAGTATCTACTAACCTTACATATTATTTCCTGATGATATGCATAGATTACCGTAAAAACTGAATAGTAATTAGAGTAATTCCTAGTAATTGGCTCATTTTAAAGAGAGATTTCTAGTAGCGAGGACCGGAGAAGGCTTGCGTTTCTATGTATATTAGTTTAAATTTCTATGTATATTAGTTGAACTTGTAAAGGTAGTGATTAAAATGATATACCCTTCACATGGATGGACCTTGAAAGAATAATATTAAGTGAAATGAGTCAGGCAGAGAAAAAGAAATACCACATGTTTTCACTTATTGGAGGGAGCTAAAGGTGAATGAATCAGTTCACACA